AGTCACCACTACATTAGGCTGTATTTTAAAAATATACTCATAACATAATGGCAGAAAATGTTGGTACTTGTTGGAAGGGCAGATGCTAAGGTGACTTATGATGATGATTCCTTTCTCTGGTTTCCATGTATTTATGTAAATACATGAGTGGCGAGAAGCTGTCACTTCAGTAATTATGTTATATAAAATTACTGACAGACTAGAGCTAGAGATTGCATCTGTTAGTTTGATGGAATAAACCACCATGTTAGGAAAACCCACATGACAAGGAATTGCAGGTGGTTTTTAGGACCTGCAGACATCTTCGAGGACTATGAAAGTGGGTCTCTTGTCAACAACCAGCATAATGCCAGGGTCCTGATCATACAACCATATGAAGTGAATTCTTTGAATAAATAACACTAATAAGCTTGGAAGTAATGCAACCTCTTATCTAAAGTTGAACCTCCAGATAAGCTCACAGTCAACACTGATTACAGCATATGAGACCCAGAATGGAGGATTCAGCTAGGTCAGGCCTCAATTCCTGATATCCAGAAATTGTGAAGTAATCAATATGTACTGTTTTACATGCTGATTTGTGAGAATTGGTTATTTAGCAATAAATAACTAATGTGGTAATTCCTATAATTCACAGGTAGGTAAAGATGTTCCTTTATCCTCCATATAAGCAAAGTACTTTGCTTATGAATAAAAATCTCTTGTCTGTGACTAAAACTATCCTTGTCATTTTTAAATCATTCTAAGCTCTAATGTCTACCACTTCAGAAAAGTGGGTCTGGTTATTAGTAATGATGTCAAGCATTACAGATATAAAACCAAGATTCTAGATTTATCCTTGAAAATTTCAATTTAATTTCATTGTAATATTTTCAATAAGGACAATTTAAAATGCATATAAGAAAGTGTGATTTCATTTTCCTAAAATAAAATCTATGCCACGACTTTTATTGCAGATAGAGCAATATGATTAATTTGTTTCTAATAAGAGGCAAGTAGTGGGTATCTAAACCTATTGGGAGGTATGCTGAAAAAGAATGAATATAATGAAATGTAGACATAATAGCTGGAACTAAAGTAGAGCTTTAGTTAAAGTAGAACCATTAAAGCTATGAGATATGCCTTCTTTTGATGATGATTGAAAAGCCTTAATCTTTAAGGACTATGTGGAACAAAGATGTGATTTTAACTTCTGAAATGATAAAGGCTTTAACCAGAATGAAATCAGTTTCAATATCATTCAACTCATGGGATCATGGTTACTTGGATGTTTTGCTGATTCATACAGAAACTTGGCAAAAGTTGCTATATACGATTAATTTGTGAATCATAAAATATCATTACAGACTACGATTCTCTGTTTGACTGAGATATAAAGGTGAACATTACCCTGATAAAGGCATACAACAGGTCACTGTAACTCCAGAATAGGGTTACACAAAGGACAGTATTTTAGAATAAAGGAACATGTGAACAAAGGTGTTAATCTTCAAAATGTGTAATCAGGGCCCTCCCTGGTGGTGCAGCGGGTTAAAGCACTGCGTTGAGAAACTAAAGCCACTTCCACATGAGTTCGATCCCCGCCTGCCCCGGAGGTGACCACATGGGGAGGCAGACCTCTCCTGACCCGCCCGCTGCTCCCCTCAGCAGTGTACTTCATCGATCTGCCTGTTCTGTTCCCCACTCTGTCTCTGGTGAAGACTCTCACCGCCCCTGAGCCTCTGGCCTGTACCCCAATTCTGTATGCACAAATAAATAAATCTTTAAAAAAAAATGTGTAATCATTTGGTGGGAGGAAGGATAATCTATTGTTTGGAGAAGTTGATAGAAATGTGACGGAGAGGATATAGTTTTTCTGAGGGATGTTAAATAAAAAAATATATATATGACAATGAACTTACATGTCACCTATTACCCATGGAGAACATAAATATTTTTAGCTAAGAATATGACACATTTTCTAGTAAAATATATCCCAACAGTATGGAAAATATGTAGAAAGGAAAGGAGACTGACAATTTACATGTCAGATAAATGTTACAACAATATCCTAAATAAGAGAATATAAGTCAATAAGGAGAAAATTAAGTGATAGTTTCAATATACTATGCAAATATAAACTGACATAACTGACAACAAGCTGATATGATAAGAAATAGAGGAGAAATAATTTATTATTTTAACTCTAGGGTCTAATTTGATGCCTTATATTGATAGGTACACAGTAAATAATTTTTCAATATTATTGAAATATTGAGATAATGCATATAATATTTTTATACTTGGTTAAAATTTGTAGTTATTCAATTAAAATTTTATATAGTCAAGAATACTCTATTTTTCATTTAAAACAACCTAAATTTCTCTCTATTGATCAAATTATTAAATGCTTTATGAGTACTTAATTTACAAGTCTTACTATATGTAATTGTGGTTATATAGTCTGGAATTTTATATATATGAATAAATATAAGTCATATATATTTAAATAAATAAATAAATAAATATATACATATATTTGTCTTATATTTACATATATGTGGGGTTTTACTTTTACTGCATTATATAGAGAATATGGATTGCCATTTCTAATTGGCTTATATATTCTCTAACCTAAAACCTAGTGTAATAAGTGTGCATATACATAGTGAGAGCTTTTACTTTCTAATTCCTCAATAAACAAGTTCACTCATTCACCCCCATACTCCCAGAGATCTCTCACACACTCATACACACACACACACACACACATACACACACACTTATACACAACATAAATGAAATAAACAGTGAAAGTGTCTTCTGGAATTTTTAGCTTTCCTGGGCACAGAATTGATGGCTGACATTCTGCATATCTTGTTGTTCAGTAAGATGAACTCTACTATGAGCTGGCAATATTACATTCACAATAAATAGACAAGTAATCTTCAATTTGGTAAAATAACTGCAACAATATATATGTTAAAATTTTCTTAGATATTTTGGATCTCAGGAAAAAATCAGAATCATCTTCAATGATTTGTTTTGTGGATGAAAATATTCTGTTTATATTCAAAGTGTTTTAAATTGTGGGAAATTCACAATGATTACTAATTATGGTATATTTTAGTAGAAGACATAAATGGCCTTTCAGTTTTGTTTAGAGATCTGATTCTATGGAATGATCAATTTCATTATCAATTTTCTAGGATTACACTGCATTTGGAACTCAATTATATACTTTCCTTTAAAACTACATTAAAGTACTTATGAAAATATTGACATAACGAAGCTGAGTTGAAGACTGAAAATTTGCACAGTGGAAACAAATTATGCATAAGGATACATCTTTTTTCTATGGGGCAACACACAACAGACTTATTCCTTTCTATTGCAGTCAAACTATACTATTGCACCCCATGGATCTAGAATGAAATTATTGTTTCTTCTGGTCATAGATAGCATTCTAGTTTAAAAAAAGAAAAAAAAAAGGATTTGGATTACATAATGGAGAACAAATGAAAACCTTACAAAGGTAGTGTGGTCTACACTAGCCTAATGTAAGAAAACAATGTGACTGGAGAAAATTGAATGTGTATAGGCCAAAGAATTTATATTAATAAATGATGCACCTAACTACATGGAGGTGTTTCTTGTTTTTTTTATAAATGAAAGAATGATTTCCATTTTGATAAATATGTAAAAAAAAATTGCCTTTGAAGGATTCTTATTACTTTGGGACAATAATATATAAACAAAAGTTAATGTATATCATGGCCTTTTAAGTTTCTCATAGAATAATGGATTGCACTCCCTTTCCTTTGTAAATATTCCTAGGGATAAAAATGAGCAATTAGATGAACATGCAAGTGTACTGTCTTAGAGACTAGGTTTTGTTGCAATAGTTTCCCTTAAAATTTGAAATAGAAAAGCTTTAAGTTCAACTGAATTTTAATAACAGCACTGTGAAACCAAGCCATGGCAGAATCCAGCAGAGAGGGCATCCTCATATTCTTTGATTAGTCAATTATACTTAATCTACCAAATATTATATTACAGGAAGCAAAAGTTTCTCAAGGCAATTCATATTTAGAGAGTTTGCTTGTAAGAGCTTATTAATATGAATTTATATTGCCCATGGACAAATTTAATTAAATCTGAAATATTTTAATCAAAATTCTATGATTGCTTTTCAAATAATATGTAATGTTCAATTGGTCTTCTACTAGCATAAACACATCAACTATTATAATTAACTTTACCTAAAACAAGGCAATTTAACAAGGAATATATACTTTTAATATATGCCTAAATTATATCTCAAAACTAATACAGATTTTTTTTTCTTATAGAGATTATTAAAGTACTTGAAATAAGCACAAAGGATTTAATACAGACTAATATGTTCTATAATGCATCAAAAGAAAATGACATAAAAATATTGTTACTTCTCTCTAATATTATATACCAGATACACTTTATTGCTTTCTCTTTGAATATTTGTGAATATCTGGTGAGTCAAGATAAAATGGAGATTCATCAATCATTAAGGTAATAAATTAATAATAATAAAAAAAAGCCTTGTGCTTTTAAGAAAATTGAAAAAGGGGTCAATTCAAAAGGCATTTTAGACTTTTAGAAGATGCATATTAATATTTGCAAATTGTTCTAAATCAAGATAGTTACGATTTCTCTCTTTGTTACTGAAAGACTCAAAATAACCTTATCACCGAATCTATTGAATTGACATAAACTTCTGCCTAGTTTTACAGGCACATAAACTATCTTACTAAAATAGACTTGCCTTGAAATTGACTGAATTCTTAACTGAATAGTCTAGCTGCTGGTACTAAGCTCCATGAATCTGCAAAATGCTGTCATTCTTTTTGACACAAGTTTAAGATCCCTTAGCTTAAATGTATGTATGTAAGAATGTTATATAGAAAGCAAAATATTTCATACATCAGTACCTAGTAGATATATACAAATGTACAGAATGAGTAAAATATTTGGAATCTTACCTGTAACAAGAAAGCTGCAACGTCCTGCTCCAGCTTCATTTATGATGCTACAATTATAAACCCCATAGTTTTCATTGGAAAGACTCTTCACGGGGTACTCTGTGTACTCTTGGGAATCAAACTGACCAGTTCGTAACAGTTTGTTGCCCAAGCGCCACTCATAGGTCAGCACCCGAATGGGATATGCTCTCAGCACGCGGCAGCTCATTGTGACACTTCGCTCTTGCCCTTGCCGAATCTCCAGGAATGCTGGTTCCACAGCAGGGGGATCTGTAGGAAAGAAATGTTAAAACGAATGAGTGGCTTGAGAATTTTTAATGTGAGAAGGTATTTCAAAAACATATCCAGTGACAGGGAAGGAATATAAGCAGAGAATGCAGAAGATACTCAGGCCCAGGAATTTCAGCTTGAACTGGAAATATGATTTCCTGATGTGAGTTGTTAACATGATTCATTGATTTTAAAAAGCATTTGCAGGTGAAACTAGCAGTACTTATTTTTCCTTTCTAATGTTTAACAGGAAAAAAGCTCTTGATTGTGTTTGGCTTATACTTTGAGCAATCAAAGGATGCTGTGGTTATGAAAGGCACTCTCCAAAGTAGTATGAGATGCCAATGCAGATAAAGCTAGAGATTCATGACTGTGGATTCTAATATTCCCATGGGAGGCTCATAATCCATTATTTAATTAAAATGGAAACACAAGAATATAGATTGATTTTCTAAATTATAGGCTGATCTTCTTTGGCTGCAAGTCATAATGTTCATGTGTAAACCTTAAACAAACTTTGCAAATTGTACCACAAGCACACAAGCAGAGATGGTTTTGAATCCATTGCAACAGTTCATTTATCTGACTAGACTGTGTTTTTTTTTTTTCATGTAATTAAAACTTGCTACATTAGGTACCTAACCTTTTTGGTTTTAATGGGATGAATACCAAAAGGTAGTATTTATAACTGTTATATATAACAGTTCTCTCATTATTTCAGGTAGGCAAATCAAGTCCTTTTTTTTTTTTTTGTATAAATAACTCCTAATGAACATAATAAATAAGAGACACTCCTGAACACTGGCAATGTGATTCTTTCTATCAAGGAAAATGCCTGCAACCAGGCAAGATTGTACTAGACTAAATATGTTTGGTACCCTGTTGAATAGTTCAGCTAATAGCTGCATGATTCTACCTGGTAAACTTTATTTCCTTCCAAGATGCTAAAGTGTTAGGACTGTGTCACCAAATGTGCCTTGAAACACTGCTTACATTTTAGTTTCTGTTTTATAGTCTAACTTTCCCTTCTCATTTCAACTGTGTTGATTGTCCTTTCTTCCATCTTTCAAACTATTGTAGTAATTCATTTTATTCTTTAGTTCCATTATAAGTCTTTCCTAATAAGTACAAAGAATTAAAAGGTGAGAAAAAAATCCAATCTACTTGTAGTTTATGGTCTAATACAGAAGGAAATAACTATGAAATGTACAAAATACAACTCTATGGTAGAATATTTAAAAAAAAAAAAAAAGGTGACTAGAGAGTAAAGACGCTGAGATCACCGTGTCCAAGCTGGCATAGGAATTGAGGACTGAAAACGGATTATAGACTCACTTACTACAAGTTTTAACCCAAACGAAGCATCCTGGACTCACTAGAAGGTAGGTAACTGAGAGGGAATCAGCGATTGGGGAGTTCCCAGAAGGGAACTCCCGGGAAAACCCAGGCCCCTCGAAGTTCCGCGGGCAGCAGGAGCCGCTTTGCCCCACGCTAAACCCTGGAGGTAAAGCTGGACGGCTCAGCTCAGTGAGTGGAGCCCAGGCTGCGGAAAGACTGCAAATCTGATCCTCAATACCTGGGTGAGAGAAAAACCGCTGAATCTGCAAACCAGATCCAGAGCACCTGGGCGCCGCCCAAAGCCTCTGATCAGCTCGACCAGCTCGGGAATCGGCAAGACAGCAGCAGAATAAAGATGCCCAGGCGACTACATCCAAACTCGCACGGGATTATACAAAAACGGACTATAGACTTTCATGCTACGAGTTTCAACGCAAATGAGAACGCCCTGGACTCACTAGAAGGAAAATAACCGAAGGAGAACCGGCGATTGGGGACCATAAGGAAAGCCGCATAGGCAGGAACTGATCCGGAATGCCAGTGGCTTCCAACTCACTGGGCTCCTTTAAAAATCTAGGCGACGAAAGGCAGAGGGAAAATTGCCTGAGGCGGCAGCTGCGGGCTGCTCGGCAGCCTTTTGTCCCAGCCCTTCTACAACCCTGGAGATAAACTGAGACAATTCAGCTAGGGAGGGGAAACCAAATCCTGGGAAAAGGCTGCAGCTCAGAACCAGAGACCTGAGCATAGCCGCAGACCTGTTGCTGACCTTTG